TACTTAGTATTGATGATGAGGCACGGAAGCAGTTTCAATTGAGGCTTAGAAAATTATCGGTGCCTAGGTTGATTATAATAATTGATTTACTTCTATTCAGTTTTTAGATTTCTTCAGGATATCTTGTGTCAGGGGTTTTCTGTACAATCTCCCATCTATTCATTATCTAAGAATCAATTTAGACGCTTGAAAGGAATTTTTTTTATTGTTCGAGATAGTAAATAAATGATTTATTACTATTTCGTGTACTTTTAGACAATTAATTGATGAAATAGTACTTATCATACATGTTCATTGACTTTCAGTTCATCATAGGTTATTATGTATTTATTTTGGGTGAAAGTTAGCAATTATAGGCCGCTATAAAATGTCATGAAGTAACCATTAACCCTGACTGCATTAGTTGACTTTATTATGCACTTTTTCATGTATATTAGATCATTATTGAAATGAAATACTTCTATACAAGTTGATTGCCTTTCAGATAAACTATTAGATCATCATAGGAAATCATGGAAGTTGTCAATTCACGAAGTATATAGACCAGATAAGACCATTAACCCTGACTGAATTAGTCAACTTTTTTATGCATTAGGATGAAATGTTACTTTTTTGTACACTTTTAAATAATTTATTTAAATCAGATTCGTATTATGTTAGTTCATTGACTTTCAGATAAAGTGCTAGATCATAGGAAATTGTAAATATAATCTGGGTGAAAGTCATCACTGTCACACTATAAATATTCATGTTAATACCATTCACCCAGACTGCAATTAGTCGATTTTATTATACATTGGAGTGAAATATATTTTATGAAAATGTAAAGGAATAGGGTTTGCCATCTCGTCAACACATTTCTTAAGTCATTTTGAGGCAAACATAAATTTGGTTAATTATGTTAATGGGGTGCCACGGTGGCTAAGTGAGGAAGACGCTAGTTCACACGCCTGGAAGTTGCGAGTTCACCATGATTTTCCGGCATGGTTTCCCCATGTCAGTGGTGCAGGAGGGAGAGTCTGACAAAGACAGCTGTCTAGTTGTTCGGATGATATGAAAAAAAACAATTTCCCGTGTACACATTTGCGTGCGCGTAAAAGATCCCTTAGCAGTTGGAATTTGATATAAGAGTAGGCCATAGTGCCACTTTTTTGGCAAAATTCTCCTCATAACACACTGTATGGCATATGCCCATTGTCATTAGCCCAGTCAGAGCAGACAGTAGGATGTTAAACTCCATTTCATTTAAGGTATCAAATTTAAGGTATTCTGTGAAACAAGTTTCTTGTCCTAAATTAAGTGTGAAAAAAATGTTTAATAAAACGTGATTTACCGGTCCACTGCATACGAACATTTTAATCCCCTTGATGTCGGTCGACGAGATTATAGGGAGTCAAAGATAAGTCAAAAAACTAATTGTAAGCCAACCATTTAACAGTCAATCAGTTCACGATCTAACTAAGTAATCATTACAAATGTTAAATTTGATAATCCCGTAAATATACAAGCTCGATAATTATTCACAAAACAACGATTTTTATCTGTAACAATTTTCCTTCGTAAGAATTGACCATGTGTTCCAATCTGGCATCCCATATGCCATCACGTAATATTTTAATCGTATTCCATTCACAATTAACAACAAAATATTCCATAGGCTATAATCATATGGTGGATGAAAAATGTATCAGTTTAATTTTTATTCGTTTAACAGACTACTTTGCGACTAAAATGGCACGTGGTTCATTTTCACGGGGAAAAGGTCACATGGGTAAATAAATCTCAGTGAGATTTTACTGATATCTCACTGAAATTTTACTGAAATCTCATTACTATTTCAAAGTCTTTATTAACATGCATTCTGAAAAAAAAATCCAAACAATTATACTATATTATTAATTATACCTCAAATTTCTGTATTCCCTGTTCTTTTTCTTCTAGTGTTGTCCTTTACTTCGATGATAATAAAAATATATGGCCTGAAATGACACAATCAAAATAATATTAAATAAAGATAGGCATGTGCCATGCAGTGAGCTGTTAGAGCATTCAACAGTTTCAAAATTATCCTGTCAAAAACAAAGCATATAATATAAATTTTGGGATAAATGTGCATCGGCTGTCACTAGTGGCAGGCATTTAGTAATTAATTCTGAATACAAAAAGGTTATAACACTGATAATTTACTCTTAAAATATGTTTTGATTTATTTTTAGTGGATCCGTAATATATATACACAGAACCGTTTTACCTTATTTTTTTAAAAACTAAACATAGCCAGATCACATAATTTGCATGACGAAAGTTAATTTACCAATACATAGCCCAATCTACTACTACTAGAATTTAAACAACTATACTCACCATGGCTGCTTTTGAAAATACCGCTTATCAGTACATCCATTTTTATAATTAACTACTAATTTACGTGCACAAACACAACTCTATTATTCCAAATACGCGCCTTTTAACAAGGAATTTCAACATTTGATTAAAAATTCGGAAGCCTTTAGCGAAACGATTAAAAGAACTTAGGTTAATTAAGCCTGTTAATCTGTTTAAATAGTGACACCAGTTTATCAATTAAGCCTGTTAATCTGTTTAAATAGTGACACCAGTTTATCAATTTAGTAATGAAACATGCACGCGAGATCATTTTGTTTGCATGAGGGTTTCATATAATTTACAACCATATATATATAGAATTAAAAATTTCTTCGTTTGTTTTCCATTCCAAAATTTTTAAAAACAGTGCCGCTCGCCTGTAACCCGACACCCTTGGAATCTCCGTCATTGACATTGTTTACGCTAATCGGCAATGACCTCAAAATTTGAATTTAAAATGGGTTAAATTTATTCTCTCTTTTCACAATAAAAGAGGTTGATTTCAAAACATGATTATATTAATTGATCGTAAAATATTTCATTTACGGGTGCTGTAATTGATGACCTTGTTTCCCAATGTGGCTATTGAAACACGTGTGTTACGTTTGAGAAAATAGCCATTCTACCATAATACAATGATTATCGGAACACATCGGAAAAAATTTTGATGTTGAGTCATTCATAAGTTTATACATCATTTTAAACATGTAGTTAATATTACTTAGCACGTGTTCATGGATTACGCACGGTGATAGACGAATAAAATAAACGTCAATGAAATTGTCTACTTCAGGAAATAACGTGATTAATTAATGGAAATTAAAAACATTTCGTTTTCTGACACTATTAGGCCATAATTTCGAAGTGCTCTCTTTCACAAATTACAAATCTTTATATGCAGTTATTAAAATATTTGCAATGAAAAAATGTCATTTTTATGTTTTGTAATTTCAGTGAAATTTCAATGAAATTTGCAAGATAAATATTTCAGTGAAATTCCAGTAGACCAAAATATATTTTATTTCAGTGAATTTTCAGTAGACCAAAATTTTTGTTTATTTCAGTGAAATTTCAGTAATAGACCAAATATATTTATATTTCAGTGAAATTTGGTCATTTCAGTGAGATTGGGCAAAATTTTCAAATTTCAGTATCATTTTCTCTGGGGTATACAAAACAATGGCCTGTAGTGCACACATACTGAAGTCATGTCATCTTATATATAGATACTGTTATAGAACAGTATATTATAGTCTTCAATGGAAAATTACATGTATTGTTGATGATTAATGATGGATGTCTGGAAGTTGAACAGTAAACAGTAATTATTATGTGAGAATCTTATTAAATGGCGGAAATGGGTTCCATTGTTGCTCTATTTGAGAACCTTTTGTATTGTCCATATGCCAGAAAAATTTTCTAGGACAAAGATAGCGGTCACACATATTGTGTTAATGGGATTAATTGGATATTTAGCAATGAAAATAAATAGGCCTTATTCTAGGTTACTTATATAATTCTCTTTAAATTAATAAATTATTGGGGTCACAGTGGCTAAGTGGGTAAGACGCTGGCTTGCTAGCCTGGAGGTCGGGCGTTCGATCCCTGCATTGGCCGAGAAAGTTCATCCAGATTTTCCGGCGTGGTTCCACCTTGTCAGTGATGCAGGACGGAGGGCCTGACAAGGACAGCTGTCTAGTCCTTCGGATGAGATGAAAAACCGAGGTCCTGTGTATACATTAGAATGCACGTAAAAGATCCCTTGGCAGTTAGAACTTGATATAAGAGTAGGCGAAAGTGCTGCTGCCCGGGCAAAATTTCCCTCATAGCACACTGTATGGCGTATGCCCGTCTTCATTAGCCCAGGTTAGGAGCAGAACAGTAGGACATTAAACCCCATTTCATTTAATAAATTATTAACCATTTGTTCGTAACATTCAAGTCATCTGTTAGTGAATATTAGTTTGTAGCTATAAGATCATCAGTTGGTAACCATTGGTTCACAACTTTATAATCATCTGTTGGTAACCATTGGTTCGCAACTATAAAATCATCAGTTGGTAACCATTGATTCGCAGCTACAAAATCACCAGTTAGTAACCATTGGTCATAGCTATAAGATCACCAGTTAGTAACCATTGGTTCGCAACTATAAAATCATCAGTTGGTAACCACTGGTTTTTCTGATCATCAGTTAAAGTAACCATTGGTCGTAGCTTAAAAATCATCAGTTGGTAACAATGTTCTTTAAATTTGAATTAGTGCCATCAAATTTTGATTATTCTAATAATAGATTGCTGCCCTTGATCAGTTGTTAGTGCCCGGATTATTTAGTTTCTGTAGGCATATTTTCGTTGCCTGGCAACTTGTCTTTGAATATCCCAATATGATCATTTTTTAGTCACTAGACAATTTAGTTTCTGTAGGCATATTTTCGTTGACAGACAAATTGTCTAAGAAACCCAATATGTATAATTATGATTGTTTTATGTGTATATTTCTTAAGAGTAGAAAAAGTACAAGTACTTCTATATATAACAGATAAAAATATTTCCAGATAATGAAATAAGTACATGGTACTATTACGATATAAAAACAAAACATAACAGATAAAAATATGTCCATTTAAAAAATACCACAGATAATAGAATAAGTACATGGTACTTATGATATAAAAACAAAAAGAAAGGATATCTTATATCTTACATTAGAGGCTATAAAGATCAATATGGGTTGCAATCGTTCATCAGCCTCTTTGTGAAACAATCATAACAAACACTTTGAAGGTCATACTCTTAATATTTTATGACATTTAGCTCAGTGTCCATATTGGATATGTTTTTTGTATCCATGAAAATGAGAGAACATACAAAATTTCATAATACAGTAATTTCATCTTTAGTTGCGACCAAACCGTCTGAAAATACTGTCATAATTGTAGTTTGTGAATCACCAATAAAAGTATTGTTGCTATAAAGACTACCGATCCTTGTGATTGGTTCATTGTACCTCACATCTTCGTCCGATAGATTAGAACTTCTTGCACTGTTGCTGGAAATGGCCGATATTCCATTCTGTCTGCGATTTTTACGCGAGTTGTTCACCATACGCGACACTCCACGCGATAATGTTTGTATAACAGACTTTATTTGAGCAGTTCTGTAGCCGTGGACAATGGCACTGACAAAGGACTTGATGAGAAATACTGGTATAAAATACACAATGTTTATATCGGATCCCGGCAGATCAGCCAAAGGACAAGCACGACAAAATAATCCCAAATATGTATAAAAAGGAACACAACACACAAACCACAAACCAAGATCAATGATGGTGGTCACAACCAAACGGCGATACTTTTGAAACTCTTGAGAATGACCTCCCATGAATGTATTATTCGTCACGATTTGTGTCGTTTTATAACGGAGAAATAGTATGACAACAAAGTTTAACAAGATGATAATAAATATCAGCACGCCGTGAAAAAACAAATAGTGCCAGGGATAATAAAAAAAGAACGACAGGATGTAGTCTTGGTCATTCCAGCCTATCTGTGGTAGGAAACCTATTATGAAGGAGACATTCCATAGTAACACCATGACCGTAATGATATTCTTTTTGTCCATGTGTTGTAAATATTGTAACGGTTTTGACAATTTTAAACTACAATCAATATTTAGCGCCAGCAATGACAACAGAGACGCTATCGATGCCGTAAAGAAAAAACTCTCTGGCAGGAAAAAGTTAATCAACAAGATATCCAGATTCAGGAACATTAACATTTTCGAAATGCCGTAGAGTCCCAACAAAACATCGCCAACGCATAAACTACGTATGAATACCAGAGTTGGACTTTGCCCACCGCTCGCAAATTTTGAAGCTAATAACACGATTAAGTTGCACAATGTTGTCACCGTTCCCAGGGTTAAAATCAGGCTGATTTCAGTGGTAGTTAGCGTACGCGAGATATTTAAAGATTGTGTCACATTTTCTGCTGGTCCGATCGTTACTGGTAGTATAATTTCACATGTTTTATTTTCTCGACATGTCATTTCGCAAAACACTCCATAACTACATCACATGATGATGCAGCCTAAACCTACAGATCACCAGAAATTTGTTTTTCGTGGGAAGGGTTGTCTCATTTAAATATCTGTTTTTCTTGGGAAGAGTGGTTTCACTTATTTTCCTGTTGTTTGGTTACCATTTTTCAAGAATTCAGAGTCATACATTAATGTGTGCTATTGATTGTTGATCTTTATTTTGGAAAGACTCACATATGCTGCTTTTGTTTTTCTCGGCAACATCTTCAAAAGCTCCTTCAGATCGAGTTGTTTAAGATTCCAATGCTTGTTATTCTTCTCATTTTTTAATTCACTTTTGATTATTCTTTGAAGGACAAAACTTCTTAGTTTCGGACTTCAAAAAGAGCTTGAACTTTTTGTTTCTAATATACGATAATTTTCTACTGGCATTGGTATTTGATATCTGAAAATTAAAACAGAAATATTATATTTAATACCATACATATATACAGTTCAGTTTATTCAAATACACTTTCATTGAAATCTAATTTTTAGGCCACATCACCACCAATAAACATTCTTGCTTCGTATGTCTTTGGGGGGGGGGGGGAGTTCGGATAAATTCTATTTCAAGTCTTCATGATTGTTAGTTATGGTCTAAAACTCAAAAATAATTTTAATTAAAAACTATTTTGATCTAAAAATTATTCAAATGGGTCACATAACTCAAACTTATTTTACGTTGTGGACTTGAGGCCATTTTAAGTTCACAATCTGCTATCTTTATCTCTCTTTAGATGAAAACATAGTAATGATGATTAATTCTTCATATGTTACAACAACAGTCTTTATAAAGTAATGTGGGGGTTAGATGGCCGAATGGTTAGCGCGAGCGCAGTGTATCATAAGGACTGTCATTGAGTCAACTGGCATGGTTTCGATTCCCCGGTTGTACGTGACAAGGAGTAAGGTCGCCTGTCCAACCTCGTGGGTTTTCTCTGGTTTCCTCCCACTGCTAAAGACCCCTGCGCGCATGCAAATTATTGAAATAAAATTGAACCATATGTTAGTCCCGAAATGACCTAGTTTGTGTTGAGTGGACGTTAAACCCCATTTCTCTCTCTCTCTCTATAAAAGTAATATTTGGGGGTTTTTTAATTTTGAAATATATAAAAACGACCTGGCTTGTTGTAAGTGCCTTCGATTAAAATGTGTTAATATGGATATCGAAGTATTGGCATAAAATTCTTTGTTTGTCCTGAGGAGCCACGGTGACTTGTTGACCAGGAGGTCCCATGTCCAATCTCTGTGTTGGGATTTTCCGGCGTGGTTCCCCCTTGTTAATGGTGCAGAACAGAGAGCCTGGCAAGGGGCCGAGATCCTGTGTACACATTGGGGTGCACGTAAAAAACCCCATTACAACTGGAATTTGATATAAGAGTAGACTGCAGTGCCACTGTTTAGGCACAAATTCCCTCATATCACACTGATTGGCATATGCCTGTCTTCATTATCCCAGTCGGTGCAGAACAGTTAGACGTTAAACTCCATTTCATTCCATTTATTATAAATAGAGTATATTTTTGACTATTGATGAAAACAACCTGACCATGGGTTAACACAGATATTACAGGTTTGGCATTAAATTCATTGTCCTGTTAAGAAATCATTGGTAGAAGTTATAATAAGAATTAAATTCTTTATGTCCTTTTAAGAAATCATTGGGAGAAGTTATAATAAGAATTTAAAGATTATAGGTTTCATTCTGATTGTTTGCTGTCAGATGTAGATGTTAACATCAAAAGTTGTTTGTAGAAATGCTTAAAAGATCTGATTAATGAAATCCTTCAGGCAGCTGTTTTATGGAACTATTTTCATACACAGGTCATAATTCTTTGGAATACAACTACTGTTTATTACTGGGAGCAGCAGTGACTCAGTGAGTAAGACGCTAGCCTCAAGATCCTGTGTTCGATCCTAGTGTTGACCTAAAAAATACATCAGGATTTTCCAGCAGGGATCCCACTTGTCAGTGGTGCAGAACTGAGGGCTAGGGGGTATCTAGTTGTTTAGATGTGCACGTAAAAGAACCCTTGATTGTTGGAACCTGACGAAATAAGAGTAGGTAATAGCACAGCTATCCAGACAAAATTCCCCTCATTGCATACTGTATGGCGTAAACCTGTCTGTCGTTTGAGTGCAGTCGCTGCAGAAAAGTAGGACTTTGAACCCCATTTCATTTCGCTTCATTACTGTTTATATTAAAGGGACAATAACACTCTTGCTGGCTTGAAAGCTCCAGAAAATAAATAATATCTCTATCTAAGTACTAGATGTTTAAGTGTCCTACCTGTTGTGTAAATTATCCATTACATCCTATTTTACTTGTCCAGAGGGTTCAAAAATATTTTTAAATCGAAGTTTCATTTGAAAAGGTTTACGTTAGACGTTTCAAACCATTATGTTGAATTTTTCAAAATTTTAAAATAAGGTGTGTTAAGATGAAATTTGTATCATCAATTAATTGGAATATTGTAAAATAGTACAATTTGTTGACCAGAATAAAGATTGGGACATATTATTCAGTTACTCCAAGAGTGGTATTGAGCCTTTAAGCGATTTTTAGACTAGGTATCTCAGATTGTATTCCATAGAATTGGGACCTGTATATTACTAAATGCCATTGAAATTGCAACAGTGAACAATTTCCAGGGGAAAAATGCATTGTTTTTTTTTTACCAGAGGTGGTGATGGGGTGTAAAGATTTTTTGTTTCGTTTTACACTCAGATTTGAGCAGAAATATTAATTTGAAAAAAGAGAGGAAGGCAATATTATTACTTAATTAAACATGCATTATGCAAGAGCAAAATCTGCTTATTACAAGTCTTTCTTTAGATTCCTATATGCCAAAGATAATTAAATCAGAAAAAGTGGATAATCGAGACTATGCTGTTTATATTAATGATTATAGTAATGATGACCGAGACTATGCAAAAATTTCACCCGCTTCTTTCTCGGCTCATAGTGGATCAATTTGACTGAAATTTTCAGCAAATTACCTTTACACTATCTTTAGTTTTTAACTATTATAGCGAGAACTGCCATCTCTTTATCTTATCTCCCATAATGTATCTTTAAAGGCCTGGACATACGGGAAATTCATCATTTTTGATGGCTTAATGAGAGATCTTAGGTATCCATGGTTTCACATTATGCATCTGACGGACAAACATAAAATCCCCAGGCAGACACCTTATCAATTATTTCCTAATAATAATATTATCCTTAATACATCCATGTCTAATGGATTAACCTGTACAATAGATTATAACTTAAACAGTTTAATTGATCAGTCTTCAGGCTAATCTGTAATTGAAACATAATTTAATTAATTTTTAATTTTTAATATTAGATACAGTCCAATAAATGGTCGTACTTCATTTAGATAATGTCGAATAGATATGTTGTGTGCAATATTTTACACAGTTGCCTTATAAAATTGGTTGATTTACCATATCTGTTAAAGATGCATTATGTAAGAGTTAAATCTACCTATTGCATGTCTTTATTTTGGCTTCAAATGTTGTTATTATTCAAATTATTATTTAGACATTTATTAACATGACAAGCCTATATTCAACTTTATGGAACAGTGATTTCCAACCAGTGTGCAGCGAGATCTACCTAAGTATGCCGCGATATTTTGAACGGCACACTAAGAAAATGTTAGAAACCATGTGATCCCAATTGAGTATTCACTGGTGTCTACTGATAAATTCATAGCTGTGGATTTTTTTTAATTTAGTTTGAGTCATTCTATGTGTCTATGACTAGTCTCTGTGTACAGTTGCAAAATTCAAATATTCTTCATATGTATTTAGCCAGGTGTGCCGTTATTTTTATGTGTTCCAAGGTGTGCCGTTGGCAAAAATAGGTTGATAACCACTGCTGTAGAACATCATGGCAGAGATTTAAATGGATTAGGAAGTCTGCAAGAGATTTAAAAATTTAACTATAAAATGGACGAATGAGGCTAAGTCTCTATTGCCCAGTGCCTTTGCTAGCGATAATAAACAATCTGGGCTACATCTTACAGCACCCATAATTTTGCTCAGAATAAAGTAATTTTAATAAAATTTTCAATATATTAATTTTGAATTATCTATTTTTGAACTATTCTAGCAAGAACGACCTGCTCTTTGTCTAAATCTTACATAATGCATCTTTAATGAATCATATGTTTTTATATACTACATCCTGAAAGAAATACAAATATTTCACATTTATATCTAAGAGTTAATTGAATATTTCTAAAATAAATTGTGTATATTACAAAAAATGTTTATTTGTCGATAAATGCTATCATTGTATCATATCATTTTGCACACAGAGAACTATCTACTCTACTTTGAGAATAGATCTCTGTCCTAAATGGCTGCTATATCCAACAATTAGTAATGCAGTTCTACTCCGGTTCACATCTGTTTTACACAAAAAGACAAATTAAATCTTTTCAATTTTATTAAATAAAAGCAGAATATATACTTCTTAAAATTTTCGAAATACACTAAGTGTTTTTTACTCAAATCGTCTATTTAGGACTTAAAATGTCAGTCAACTAGCTTAGTGACTGTTCTCAAGCAGAGCTAACTGCAAACAGATAGCGGAAGTTTAGTATGTGTATCACCTGTATTAATAGGTAATAGGAAACCAACCAACCAACCAAAAGATGAAATTGGCACGATTCCTCAAGCATTAAGGATTATTTGTCTGGTTACGGACTGTTAAGATATAAAAGGAATATGCTTATCAATTATCAATATACTGTTAGTCATACTTCAAACAGTCCGTGTGTTATATCAATGAAATGCACATTAATATTTAACAACCTGATATGGTTGTTTATATAAAAATAGTAACAAATTGCTATTATAGTTGTTTTTTGCTATTAATTTTTTAACATTATTTTTTTTTATTCCATCCATTCTTTGAAAAGACGAGAATAATGTTTAGAATGCTTTTATCTGCCCATGTTTTATGTGTCTGTATCTGACTGTCCACAATTGCTTTAAAGGATCTACATGTCATGACTGTTTTGAAATTGCTTGAAATGTTTGATATTCGATACGCAAGAAATCATATTGAAATTCAGAGTTCTTCTTTTATTATATATATTCACAGTTATTGCCCCTGTCTCATGTTAATACTATCTTATTTCTTTACTCTATGAGTAATTGGACAACAAAGATTTGTCAGCAGTTTAATTCCTCACTTGAAAAGTAGTACTGCGTGTTAAAATATTAAAATAAGATATGTATACCCTGCCTTGTACATGGCACTCATTACCATTGCAAGAGAGGTGGGGAAGACAAAGTGGTTTTAACAAATGCGCTTTAGGACATGAGGTCCATCGGAAGTCAAATGATGTGGTATAGTATCCAGGTTTGTGCGTGTCTAACTGC